CATGGACAAATCCCAGTAAGATCAAAACGAAGACGTTTCATACTTGAATTAACAATATCTCAACTGGCTGGATTTTAAGTCTCTAGGATATTAAAAAAAAAAGACAAAAAACAAAAAACCCACCAAAAACAAAAAACTTAATACTTGGAGCCCTTATCACATTTTAAGTTACTATACACCAAGAGTCCAAATTTCAAAATCAAGTAAATTCAAATGTCATATAAACATTTGTCAGATTCAAAATAAGAGTATAATCTTTTTATATCTTTCCAAGTAAATACTCCTAATCTCACTTCATCTATAAAATTGCAAATGCTGATGCCATAGATACTGAGTAAGATAATTCATGTAATAAATCACTTCAGTATCTGTCCCCACTTCCCAAATACCTCATATTGATAAGCAAAGATGTTTGGATCATTTTAAGTAACGGGGGAAAATAAAAACAGAAAAACTGCCACAACTAAGAATAACCTTATAAATTTTATTTCAATATGCTTATTATTCTGGACAATTTCTTAACAAACAGTCTTAAAGTATGTAATTTTATTTATTTACATTAAATGCACCAAAACAACTCAAACAACATGACTATATTGCAAATACATAAGTGGGCCTGTCTGAATGCTGTGCCTATTTAAATTACCAGAAAAAGAAAGCTAAGCCTTCTTTAACAATTTTCCTATGGTCTTAAAAATCACGGGATACATCCATCTTAGTTATCCTTCAAAACTCATGAGGACTATTACATCAGAAACTGAACTTATCAAAAGAAAGCTACGTTTAATTCAGACTTTTAAACAGTGTAAGCTAAACAACCTCTAAGGCAAAGAATAACCTGCAAAGACTCAAGCAGACATAATAATCTTATTTTTACTTGGACACCAAATACTGGCCTTGTATACTTGTGCTCTCCTTACCTTTACTACTCAGCTAAGAGGCTAATTTTCTAATGATAGACAACTACACCACAGTTGTCAATTACTAACAGAACAGTATTTTATTAAATATATGATAAACTTGAATTTAACACTGAATTGTTCTCCAGGCAATCGTAGGTTGCATTTTGTCAGGAATCACTCTGTAGGGCTCTTCAAACTACAGGGGAAAACCCAAGTCTGGCTTGTTCTGTTTAGACAGGTTTGCCTGTAAAATGAAGATCTCAAAAGTTTTTAGTAAAATCACTACTTTGCAAGCAGTTTTGAAAAATAATTTGTAGAGCTGGTAAGTGCTTTCCTTCTAATCACAGACTAAGATTCACACATGCAGAACATGCAAAACAAACAAACAAACAAAAAAAACCACTTATTTTTTACTGAAAACAATCTTAAGGCTATCAAACCAGAAGCAAAGTACCCGGAGTCTTAAACACTTTAAAGGTTAAGACACAAAATAGGTTAGAGCTTTCTTCCCCAGGTCGATTAGAGAAGAGGCAGGCAATTAGGAGCTACAACAAATGCATTTAATTTATTTTTATCCCAAAATGGCTAATTATATTGCATGGCCTTTTCTTAGTGCTACTCAAAAACTAAGTTGCCTTGCCTAAGAAAATCTTAACAGAATCAAGAACATAAAGTTTGCCACACATTTTAAAACCAGAAACAAAATTAAATTCCTAGTGAACTCTTGACAACCTCAGCCCTACGGCCAATGCCATAAGGAAACATACACATCTATTAATTTGTTTACTAGATGTGAAGTCTAGTTAAAGTCCAATTGAGTTCTGAACACAAGTACTACAAAAGCCCAGCATCTAGGCAGAAAGAGTTAACCATTTAGGATTTTATTAAAATCTGACAGCTTAGCTTATAAAGAAATCCTGTGGAAGAGCTTACTATCATTGTTCTACTTCGAACAGTAATGCTAGTATATTTCTCCCCAAAAGCTTTAAAATGAAATTATATGGTTTGGTAGATGTAAACATCACTTTTTTTTCACTAATCATCACCATACCCCATTTCTGCAGCCATGATGTTATGGGACTTCGAAACATTTAGTTCAAAACAGTATGTCATTAAATAATCAAAACAAAACCATTTTAATATTTTCTTCAAAAGGTTTAAGAACCCAAACTAAAAGACAATTACATTTCCATTGTATAAATCATGTACAATTCTTAGTACTTTCTCTCTGAAAAATTACCTTTTAATAATAAACTCTAGAACTATGAAACTCTTACCTTTCTATTCAGGGATCCATGATTAAACTTTGTTATACTTTATGTGATCGATTTTAAAAAGGTGTCCTCTAAATTTACCAGATGGTATAATAATTAAGTACAGAAAATTTACTCCACATTACTAAGATAACAGCTTTCCTCCAAAATTCAGCTTGGATCCAAATCTAAAACCAGATCCTGTAAAATCTGATTATTCTCAAATTAACCCACATTTTTCTACACAGGTGAGACACAAGCTAGACATAAAACACATGAAAGCAGAAATAATGGATAAAATACCGTGTTAACTGCCATTGCTTAGGTTCCACTCCAGTAACAAAGTCACAGAAGTCTAGACCAACCATCACTATTGCAAAGTCTGGTTTATGAAGGGAGAAGGGAAAAGGAATGGTAATAGTAGTACAGACTTAGAGAAAAACTGATTTCCCACTCCCACCCAACTATATTCTTGGCATCAGAGACATGTACACATACATATACTTGTCACTCCATTTAGCACCAGTACGTCTTATTTTCTTTTTTTTTTAAACTCCTATATTTAAATCCCAGAAAGCTAAGGACAGTCTAAGGATCACTAACAGTTTATAAAGCATAAATTACTAAGCAAACTAGTACATAACCAGTTAGCAGTTTCACATATTAATAACACTAGTACTCGTAAAACACTATTTACTGGAAACAAAAGACAACCTCCCCTCCCAAATATAAGTTAACATGCTTAAAAACCACCAATCAAACCCCACAACTTTCTTTATATGTTGCATTAAACAGAATACTTTCACCAACTTTAAATAAACAATGTACAAATAACAGCTTATTATCTTTAAGACATTGCGAATACCAGCTCCAAAAAAGCAAAAATATCCTAACTTTACAAATCATAGTATTAAATTTTCTTCACAATTATAATTGAATACTTAATAAATAAATCTAATTAGACAAAGAACATAGTAAAAACTTATAGTCAAATGTGACAAGCAACTTCAGAGGTGGAATGTTTTAGCACAAAATTATGACAAAACTTCATTTTAAAGAACAAGAAGTTATATATATGAATTTCACACAGACAAAATAATTGAAATTACAAAGTTTACTTTAATACTTTATATTTCTGGAACATTTAAAAGTGGAAGTCGAATCTTCAGTAATATTTAATTTTCAAAATCTTCTGGTCACAATCCCCACCAAACTCAACAGGCCGGGACAAGTGCAATACCATACAGAAACACAGCATTGCAACCGATCCCAACCTGTGTAGAAAGGGGTTTGATTTTCCCTTACTTTTCTACAGACTTTTCACTACCACAGTCAGTTTTGCATGGATTTGCACAGCAGAATATCACACAGCTGGATGCAAACCTGCAAAACTAACCATAGAACAGTGTTCAGTAACTGGACAGTCTGACAGGGCGACAGGCCGGAACTGGAGTTCTACAGCTCGCAGTACTTTAAGTGCTCATAATGCAGTAGATAACTAAACACTACCTGCACTATAAGCACTTTAGTGCTACAGAAGCTGTCACATCACATACACCAGGCAGATTCTACATCGACACAATAAAAGTACACAAAATTAGTAAAAAATCACTTGAAGGAAATAGCAGGCCACCATCAGTTTTGCATAGATTTGCACAACTACATTCTTCTTGTAGTGCAACTATGCAAAACTAACAGAGGACTGCAAACAAAAAGTATTAAAACACCTATATACTTGCTTGGCTTGGATTATTGGATGATAACATAACTTCTTATGCCAGAAGGAGCACTTAGGGCAGTAGATGCTAATCTACTTCACTATCTGCACTAGATGCACCTTAGAACAAAAAGCACTCAACACCAGCAGGCCCTGCACTTTCAAGCCCACCTTGGCTTCCCGAGGCAGCTGTCACCATAATGCTACAAGTGCCTTCACTGCAGTAGATGCACATATCACTACCTGCACTGTAAGCACTTTGACATTATTCTGACTGGTCACAATCTTCAGTCTTACAAGGTGATGGTCTCTTTATTCCTGCTAAATTTGAAATAAATAATTAGAGAGAATAACACTTCCAACTCTTAAGAGCTATAAAACATACAAAATTCAGCAGTCCCTAATGGGGAAGAGAAAATGAATTTAATTATCTCAAACCTGTAAGTTTCATTCATAAGCACATTTAGACCTTAAAAGTAGAAGAAAAATCTTTTTCACAAGACAATCTTAAGCATCAATCTAATACTGTCAGAGAAACTGATGGCTGTTCTTTTACCTGGAGGTTCCCAGACATACTCAGGAAAAAAAAAATTCAATCAATCAAGATTAGACTGCATGTGAATGAGAATAGATCAACAGGGCAATTTGATTCATGTACCTTTTAGAGGGAATCTTCACATCCACGTGGCAAAACATTTTTCTTTTCTTCTGACTTCCAATTAGCAAATACTTAGCAAACTGATTAACAAAATTACTGTTCAGACTACATTTCCAGTGTATTAGCTAGCTGTAGAACTTAAAACACCCCATTTAAATTTCTTTGAATCTTGAAAACTTATTCCAGATCAGATATCACTCAACTTAAAGCATTTCTAAAATTACATTTTTTAAACTGTGCATCGATTTCCAAAAACGTATATGGTATTTACATTGTACTTTTACTACCTTAAAAATTAGCTGACCCACACAAAGCTAATTTTCTAGAAAAGGTAAATGGACAAAGTACAGGATACCTATTTCACGCTCTGAAAACCCAATCCCATCTATTTACTGAAATAAAAGATTAAAGTAAAAGAAATTATTTTAAAGAAAAGTTAACAACAACAAAAAAAATTAGAATACACTTACCCACTAGGGAAAACTTTCTTCTCAGCAAGTATCCTTAAGAAAAGCTTTTGGTGCAGTTAGGTCCACGTGTATGACTGGGATGGGGGGTGGGGAAACGGAAAAAAGACAAACATATCTGCTGAAAATTATTATCACCCTACAAACTCATATTTAAATATAAATTTGCTCATTTATAACACCCTTACATCAATTAGTTATATCCATTTGCTAAACCGACGCTAAGGCAACCAAGCAACATTGGCAATGTTTAAAAGACCAACAATGTAAATGGGTGAAAACGTGTTAAAGAGAATAAAGTTGAAAACCCCACAGGTATTAGATTCACATCTTATTTAAAAAGATTCTTAAATACTCCAGTATAATCCACAACAGTCGTTAACTGTACGGTACAGCTCTGAGGAGAGGGAAAAGCAGCAGCAAAGGCACTATTCTTTAGCACCCCTCCCCCAATCAAGACCTCGTGGCTGCAAGCCGGGATAAAGAGTTGTTTCCCCAACTGATGTGGTCTGGATGGCATGTTAATAATTTTTTCTTTTAATGGTATTGCAAGAACGAGCCTGCCTTCTCCAGTTTCTATCCCCTTTGCTCCGGCTTAGGTGTAGAAAAGGGAGCAGGAACACTCGAGACTGCAAAGTGCTCGCCTCGCTCATGGAGCCGGGGCCGGCAGCACATGTCGCACAAGGGGGTGCGCGGCCCTGCGGTTCCCCGAGCGACCGCCAGGGGGCGGTGGGTCAGAGTCGGGCCCTGCCGGACGCGGCAACCCACCCCCCCACCCCGTTTCCCGGCGGCAGCCGCGCGGCGACCGGCGGCGCCGAGGCCCGAGCACGGCGGGGACGCGGGCGCGCCGCCCCTCCTTTGTGTCCCCCGCCCCCCCCCCCAGCCCGGCCCTGAGGGGCGGGGGCTCCGCGGCTGCGGTGCCCGTCGCACGCGGCCCGAGGCCTAAGCCGGGAACAATCGGCGGCGGCGCGCAGTCGCCGCCATGTCCCCCGCCCTCACCCCCGCGCAGCCCGCCCCGCAGGAACATGGCGGCACGGCCGCCGCTCCCGCCGAGCCGGGCCGGCCCTCCCGCGCCGCGCTCCCCGCCAGCGGGCGGGCGAAAGCGGCTCCGGGCCGCCACCGAGGCCGGCCCGGGCCTGCTCCGCGGGCCACGGCCCGGGAAGTTGCGAGCCCCACCCGGGGACGGCCCACGCGGGTTAACAAAGCCCACGCGGAGTGGGGGTGGCGTCCAGGCCGCGCCGCCCCGAGCTCCCGCGCCCTCCGCCCACCCTCGCGCGCACAAAGTTTGGGGGCCCGCGGGCTCCCGCCCACGCCACGCCACCCGCCAGCGCGCAGGTACCTCGTGGGCGCGCCCCCTCCCGGCCCGCGGCCTGCCCCATGTGCCGCTGCCGCCGCCGCTTTGTTCTGGAGGCGCTTTAACTCTCGCCCCCGGGAGAAACTTTCCCTTCCCGGGGACCCCGCGCCCCGCGTGCACCCCAAGCCCTGGAGGGGGCGCGAGCCTCGCGCATCCCCTCCCTGAGGGGCCATTGTGTGCGCCGCGCGCCCACCCGCCCGCCGGGGCCGGCCCAGGCATGGTCCGCGCGGGTCCCGGGCGCGGCCGCCGCGCGCACGCCGCCCCCTCCCACCCTCCTCTCCCCGGCCCTGCCCTGCCCCTCCGCCAGCCCGCGAGCGAGCGGGCGGGCAGCGAGTCGCGGCTGCCACACGCCGGGGCGGCCAACGGCCCGAGACCCGCCCCGGCCCCGGCCACGCCGCCGCCGCCACGCTGCCCCGGGCCATTCCGCCCCACCCGCCCGCCCGCCCTCCCTCCGGACTGGGGCCGCACACAACAGGTTTCACTCACTCGGCGGAGGGGCGGGCAGACTCACCAGGAGGAGTAGCCGCCACCATCTTCGCCTCGCCCGCCGCGGGCTAACGCTCCCGCCTCCCCACCCGCCTCCGCTTTACTACGACCGGAGGCCCCAGGCCGGGGGTGCGGCCCGCCGGCCGGCCCGCCCCGCGAAGGGGCTTCGCGAGAGGCGCGAGCCGCGGCTACGCGGCGGGGGTCGTCCCCACCCCCTCGGCCTCGCCCGAGGGCGCGAAGTGGCGCGAAGGCGCAGGTCGGGCGGCGACGGCAGCACCTCCAAGGGCCATGTGGGTGAATGAAGGGCGGCGGCTCCCGCCTCAACGTAAATACGGACAAGCCCCACTCCCTCATTAGCATAAAAAACAAAGTACTTCCGACCTCCCCGCCCGCCCGCCAATCACCGCAGGCCCCGCCCACGGCGGCTCGGGCAAGGCGGCCGGGAGAGCGGGAGCTGGGAGCCGCTCGCCGCGCAGCGCTGCATTTCCCCGGGCCGCGCTTCCCCACCGCCCGCCCACCGCCGCCCGCCTCGCGGAGCGCCTCGCCCGGACACCTCGCGCCACGCCTCCGGCACGCCCTCCGTTAACAAGCTCTGCGCGCGTGCAGACCCCCGCGCGTCGCACACCCTCCTGGAAGCGCACGCTTCCTGCGGCTTTCTGAGAGCTCTGCTCTCGCTGGGACTCGACGTGTACGCGGTGTGATTACTGTTTATTACTTTTCTTGCCCACGATGGGTCTCGGCGGTAATTAGGGGCCTGCTTCATATCACCAGGAGCCAAAGATAAATAAAACCTAGTGACTTATTCTCGCATTGAAACCGGATTACTCAGTTCGCGCGGATCGTTTTAGAACAGAGATAAATGCTTTACACCCGAGACTTATGAATGCACACATCGTTGAAATGTGTTTCCATAACCCGGCTGTGTGTAAACCAAAACGCATGCCCGAGCAGAGGTTTCGCAGCTGCAGTACCTGATCCTCCTCCCATACCCCGCTGCACTTAGAACACTTGGCTCTCCTGTGCAAACAGCAGAGCTCGAGAAGAGCCTCATAAACAACCAAAACGCTGAGAAAAGGAGCCCACTCCGGAGCACCTTCTTCTACATGTTGTGGTTTAGGAAATTCCAGAATTCTCGGAAACGTAATTGTCGAAAGAAGTGAGGGTTCATAACGTTTACTACAAGTACAGTCATTTTAAATTGGTTTTAAATAATCCAGTAACTATTTAGTGGAAAGCACATACCACTGTTTCGTGATTTTACAAGTCAACTGTAAAAACCATATTACCAGAAGATGTCTATAATGTTCAAATGTTAAAATCCTCGGCACTCCAATCTTGATGATACTGCTAATATTTACTATCTTTCTGACTCATTTTGTCATGGTTTGCTTAAACTCAATCGTCAAACTAGAGATATAAAAAGAAAAGGATTAACTTTTCTTTTGCCACTCTTATAAGAAGGACCTATTTTCTAGATATTTTTGCTTTACAAATCAAAATAGATGGCCAAATCTGAAATTTTACAATATTTACAATATTAGTCTTTCTATAATAGTCATTTATGAGACATTCAAAGGGGAAAACATTGCTAATTTTCTTTCAGGTCTGTATTTACGTTGCTTTTGACCAACACTGACTGATAGGTCAATTCCTTTTACTTTAAAACTTCATCTTCCGCTTTAAATTAGAATGGCTAGGAGGAGGGGTGCTGCTCAGTGTTCATTACACTCTGAATCATGGGAAATCCCACCTATACACAGGTTTCTTAGCAAGAGAGAGTTATTTATCTCTTAGTTTCTTTCCAATTAAAGTCAACACTGCAATCCTGCTATTTTTAAAAAGCTGTTTTTAGACATCTAACATTATTTCTGTGGAAGGCTAACAGACAAGTAACTATTTTCTGTGATTACAGTTTGAGAGATTTAATTCTTAAGGCTTACATTTTTACGGTAATCAGAATTCTGGAAGATGTAAATTCATTTAAACTAACTTACTTGGAAATCCCAGAAAGTTTCACAATTAGTAGATTGCATTTTATTTTTAAGGGGTTCACTCACACTTCCTTTCAAAATTAAGACACAAATTATGAATATAATTAGAATAATTGAAAACTTTTGAATCCCAATGAATTTAAAGATTACCCAACCTTTTTTTTTTTTTTAAAGTCACTACTAACTAACTAGTAACGCATCCTTCTCAGTTTTAAGGGCCACACCTAGGGCCACAGCTAGGTATACCCTATCACCAAAGTAAAGATTTTGTGGTTATGATTTTGAAGATCAGAAAAAATTTCTGAACCACTTACAAATGCCTTCTGCAACCAAGGAATGTAAAAACAAAGCTATCTGAAATGCCGAAGTAGGCACACAGCCTTCTCAAGTTAGCTAAAACACACGGTACTGTTTTACACAGTCCAGAACTTCTTAGATGAAATGAAGAGCTCAATTCAACATGAGAACATTTGCATTAACTATTTACATTATATATAACAAATAGTAGAGAGATCTTTGTATTTTTCACTCAGATGCTTCAAGATGATATGATTTGAGAACACATAAGAAGTTCTGATCTTATTAATAACATTCTGAATTTTATTCCCTGTCTTTTGCTGACTATGTCAGTATCAATTGACTTAGTTATATTAAATTTTCAAAAGATAAATTCAGTTTAAATATTCTTATTTTGTAGCATAATTACAGGATTTTAAGAAACTAATGAATTAATAATTTCATTCACATTAAAGATGTGAAAACTTAAGAATGATGCAGAAATCTAAGACAAATACAACTACCTGTTATTTTAAAACTGTATATCTATATAATTTGAATATTAATTTAGAAATTGTAAGTTGGCTCTTGCAATTAAGTATATTTCATATTTTGGCAATTTGGCATTTAATATAGATTCCTATAGTAATTTATTATTTTCTTACAGTATTTGAATTTTAAGGGAAAAGGAGATATATTTAAACATCACACTGACCTTGAAAAATTAACAGGTTATAAATCAAGAACATGTTGAACTCTTCTTTTATCGTGTAGCAAACAGTGATCAATGACACAAATTCAATGACGAGATTAGGGATGTTTTACTATATATATTTGTAAATGTCTGAAAATACATCATCTAGTCTTATCATACTATGTTTTATATTTAAGATTTTAAGACATTCAATCCAAGTTAACAATCATCTGTTAAGTACTTGCTATTCTCTGGTACTGATGAAGGTTTTAATAAGGAATAAGAGCCTTTGCTTATGAAAAGTTCAGGAATTATAGCATATTACTGATTATCATGATTATTTCAAAAATAAGCTAAAAGATTCAGGTCTTCAGGCTTTGATTTGTTCCTTCCAATGTCTAATAAAATAATCCCACTGATGTCAGGGTATTTTATTTCCTTAGTTAAAAATTTAGAACATTTGCACTTCATATATGTTATCTGATAATCATACATAACATGAATATGTAGATTATTTGCTACATATGGCATTCTAAGGTGCCATAATGACAATCAATTTCTAGTGAACACAAAGATCATGATCACTGAAACTGATGGTTCCATCTATGGTTTTGAAATTAAGAAAATACAAATTACAGAGGGAAGGATGAATGTGTGTAGTTTTAAATAAAGAAGCAATTTGAAGAAAGTTCTTTCTTTTGTATCCTTGAAAATTGTCACTGTGGTACTCTGTAGAACCAGATGGAATAACTGATTATTTAATTAAGAAAACTTAAATATACTAGATACTATTTGTCACAATAAAGAGATAGTCTCTACTCTTAAAGAAATTTGGTATGTGATGACATTTATCCATATACGTAAAATTGTATGGCTTTAAAAAAAACTGAATATATTTCAATTAAACATTTAAAACTGATGTATCATAGAAAATTATGGTAAAGTATTTCACTCATTTTTCACTTATTTCATTCATTTGTTACAACATCAAAATTAGAAGTATCCTATTTTTAATTTCTCGCTTTGAACTTAATTCAGTAGTTCTTTATCTGGCTGTACTTTACAATCACCAGTACAGCCTTTAAAACATACAAATGTGGGCGCCTGGGTGGCTCAGTGGTTAAAGCCTCTGCTTTTGGCTCAGGTCATGGTCCCCGGGGTCCTGGGATGGAGCCTTGCGACCTGCCTCCTCCTCTCTGCCTGCCTCTCTGCCTACTTGTGATCTGTCTGTCAAATAAATAAAAATCTTAAAAAAAATATATATATATACAAATGCCTGGCCCTTACTTACAAATATTCCAATTCAATTGGTCAGAAGGGAGACCTGAACATCGTTTTTTTAAGAAAAATTCCCAGGTCAGGCTTATGATAAGTCAGAGCTGATAAGCTCTGGTACTTAGTTCTTGCATTAGATAAAAGCATTTGACTCATCAGTACCTTTAGCAGGTTAATCTTGATAGGCGCTTGTGCACCTGCCCGTCCATATTACATATGTGCATTGCTAATTCACTCAGAGAAACTGTGAGAAACCCAGCCAGGGTATTTCAAATCCTTCACCAAAGAGTTATGGGTGTAAAAATTTTTTAAATGACAAAAACTTCAGAAATAATGTTGAAAAAACTATATACCTTAACTGTAGCAACCTTAGTTTATAAGGCACACTGGAAACTGGTGGGCTATTGTATATTTGCTATCTGGGGTTGCAGTTTATTTTTAAGAAATCTACTTAGCAATGAAAGATCATTCCAAATATAGATTCTGTTGTATTTGAAAAATTCTCTGTAGCGGACATGTTTAGCTATAAGTTCAATTTTTTTGTTTTCAATCATTTAGCTTTAAGAAAGGGATACACAAAGATCATCTGGGTCATCTCTAATATTTTGAAAATACTAAAAGACAGACAACAAACAGATCCCTGGTAGGATTAATTACCAAATGCTAATGCTTTCAATCAATTTTATTTAATTTCCTAAAAGCTTCCAAAGGTTTTTTTTTTTTTTTCCCCTTACTTTCAAATATAGGCTTTAACCTCAATTTATACCAGAGGAAACAAGTTGATTCAGTCAATCATGTAGGTCTGCTTTGATAGTTTGTAGTTCCAGAATCAACTTACAATATTGATTGTATAATTACCTCTTTAAGATTGGTTAGAATAACATGGATTTCACAACTGGCATATTATTTTACATAACTACACATGAGTACTTAACATTCAGG